GACGTTGATGCCAGTGGCAGCCCTGCTCACAGTGGCTGTCGGCCTCAAGCTGCTGGTGGCTGAGGGATGCATGAGGAGCTGATGGGCCAGCAGAGGGAGAGTGGCCAGGGAGGACTTCTCTGAGCTCCAAGTGACAAGAAGGAGCCAGGCTTGCAGGAAGCTAGAGAAGACACTGCAGAAAGGGGCACAGTAGCTGAAGGCCCTCAGGTGGGCGTGAGCTTCTGTGTGGCGGAGGAAGAGGAAGGAGACTGGCGTGGCGGGTGGGGTGAGAGGAGGGATGTAGGACATGAGACTGGGGTCAGGAGGCTGAGCCGCCTCTGAGCCTCATCCAGGCAAGGGCCCATGGCCTGACCCCTCCCTTCACGTCTGGTCTCCTTTCTCCCGGCCCCTCGTGGTGGCGGTGGCAGTGGCGTGGGCGGGCAGACATGTGCCTGGGGCTGCCAGGCAGCCGGAGAGCAGTGAATGGAGCAGGCTGGGCCTCGTGCAGTAGTGTGATGATCATTCCCGCCGCCACCGCCACCGGGAGGAGAGGGCACAGCTGTTGGCTCAGGAAGTGAGCAGCCTCGGCGCCACCCACCCACCGCAGCCGAGTGACAAAGAACTCGTCTGCCTGGAACCACGGGCGGGCTCCGCCGGGGAGGCTATTTTTGTGAAAAGCTGAGAAATCAAAAGCTCATCTCCTCGAAAGCCTCCCTCACCTAGAGAAGCTGAAGAGGTGGGTTAGAGCTGAACAGCCCCTGAATCCTATGGATCTACCTGAATTACAGTTCTCACTCCTGTTACCGACGGGCAGCCCACCGGCAGGAGCCAGGCCTGCACCGGCGTGGCCCTGCTTCCACGTAACCCTTTAAGGCACATGGACCCTGAAGGTGCTGGTGCCACATGACAGACGATGAGGAAACTCAGGTACAGAGAGGTTAAGAAACTTCCCGGCATCGTGCAGCTGGTGCTAGAGCTGGTGTTGAAGCTCAGGGTTCTGACTTCATGACACTTATTTCTCCTCTAAGTCACGCTGCCACTGAAGTGTCTTTTCAATCCCCTGGACACCCGTCTCCTCTGCTGTGGGACTTACCTCCGATCTGCACTCACATTTTTGTCCGGTAAATCAGAGAGGTCCTTCCTTCCTCTCTCCCTGTCCCCTAGTTGTTTTCTCCAACCTGACCACTACCCTTTTGCCAAAGAAGATCTTTTTCTGCAGGTTGGGCCCCGCTCCATGGTACTTCCTATGTTCCAGCTGGCCTAGGCTCTGGGAACGCAGCAGTGAAGAGAGCACATACACTACTTGCTTCACAAAGCTCACGTCTCATCTAGAGACAGATAATATAAAATATACAAACAAATAAAGGTATAATCACAAATTATGAAAAACAAACAAGGGCTGGCTGGTTAGCTCAGTTGGTTAGAGCATGTGCTGATGACACCGAGATCTAGGGTTCAATCCCTGTACCGGCCAGTGCCAAAAAAGAAAATAATAATAATAATTAAAAAGAAAGAAAGAAAAGCAATCAAGCAGGGTGAGATGATGGAGATTAGTAGGGTTGAGTCTACCTGCTGAGACAGGGGCTGAGGGAGGACCTCTCTGAGAAGAGATCCTGTAAGCTGTACCCAAAGACTGAGAAGGAGCCAGCCTTGTAAAAAGCAGGGGAAGAGTGTTTCCTGAAGAGGGAACAGCATAGGTGAAGCTCCAGGGGCAGGAAAGAACTCTGAATGTTCAAGCAACTTACGGTTGCAGATGTGGCTGGAGCAGGGAGTAGGAGAAGGGCAGGGGCCACACTGTGTGGGGTGTGGAGGGCCTGGTGAGAGGCCTGCTCCTTGTCTCAAATGAGAGAGGAAGGGACGCCATGCTTCTGCCTCCAAATGGCATAGCTGGCAGCATGGCAGAGCCACTCTGTGGCGGGGAGACTTCGCAGCTTTGCACCCTTGGGTGGGGTAGCGATCAATACAGGCGGGAGGATGAGGGAGCATGGGGGGTTCTCCCACCTCAGGCCCTGGGGCTGGGTGAGGGCCTCCTCCTGCAGTTGCTGCTAGGACCCCTTCCAGGTCACTGGGAGAAGCTCTCCGTGATGGGGTAGGGGACACTGGCCCACAGCTGACTTCCCTGCACCCTGACCTGAGGCCCTGGGGCTGGAGCAGCCAGTCTGCTTTCCCCCAGCTGCCCCTGGGCTGGGCTGGGCTGTGAGCCAAGCCTCCACGGCCATCCGTCCATTGCACACACTCCTGGACACCCTGCTGTGGGCCTCCAGCCTTCTCAATGCTTAGAGCTCACCTCCATCCTCACCTTCTCGGCAAGGCTATCCCTGATGCCCTGGCCACAGCGGTGGTCCCTGGTCACTCGCTATCACATTATCCACATGACCTTTCTCAATGGCAGTGCCTGAGATGACCTCCCACATGT